AAATGGAGTGCAAACTCTCATTTTACAGAGGGAGACATGAGGTGAAGAGATGGGAAGTAGTTTGGAAAGATCTCCTCTCTGGTGGGGGAAGGTGATGTTGTCCACCAACGAAGCAAAACCTGGGCTGATGCGAGAGAAGACTTCTCTGCCTCTACATGCAGACCCCGTGGAGGTCAACAGCCTTCTTATCTCCTGCTCAATATTTCAGGAACTGGCTTCTTGGAACGGTTTATATCACATGCTATGTTGACTTGAGAACAGGTTAAGTCACGTCTAAAATACAAATTTAAAAATGTTTTTTTACAAGAAATGCCTAAACTATAATGATGGGGCACAAAGATGTGGTTTTCAAAATATTTCAAATATTTTGAAAACTCTAATTTATGTAGTATTAGCTGAAATGTATTCATGGTTAATTACACTGTCCATTTAAAATAGTAATGAAATAATTGGGCAGTTTGGGGATTATACAACTCTTCAACTTTTCCTTGTTCTCCCTTGTGATACTTGCATTTTTATCACTTTCTCATTTATTATCCTCTTTAAAAAGGAGTTTGCAAAAGAAGGGAGAGTCGATGAAAGGATTTCCCTTCTAAGTGGTTCCGATAAAGGCTTGTAGTGGAGGAAGATTGAGCAATTGGAAAAAAGGAGATTTAGGCTTATCTGCAAATGTCAGTAAGGAAACTGAAAGAGGATGGTAGTATATCTATAGTTGAAGAGGGCTTTCTGTCCAGCATCAATCAGCGAAAAAAGGTCCATCCTTTTGTTTTTAACTGTTGATTTAATTGATGACAGTGGGGTTCACTGGCCTTAGTAACAAAGTAAAAGAAAATGGAAAAACACAAAGAAAGAGCACAGGCTAATTGATCTTTTCTGGGTTCAATCCTTTCTCTCTGTGTGTGTATATGTATATGTATTTGTACAGTTACATAAACTATATTTGCACATATCACCAGAATAGATACAACACAAATGACAGTACGATATCATTGATATCCCAGAACTGCTAAGTTCTAGAAACTGTGTTATTAGGGGACATGTTTTGGCTCTTTCTTCTCCCTTGAAGTCTTTCAATCAAAGGAATGACAAGCACTTGGTTTATGGTCAGTGATGATGTCATTGATGAAAATGGTGGTTTTATTTGGTTCTCCAAGCACCGCACCTGTAGGCATCTCGAGAAATAATTCAAACCTCTCTGGACCCTCCAAGATGGCCTCTCCCAGGTCGTCAAGGATTGTCACTTGGAATATCTGCACGTGCACTCCTGGAGCAAAATTCAGATTTCGGCTGATACCAACGTTATCTATTCCAGCTAGTGGGAAAGGAAAAGCCAAGAGTGAGACTATAGGATTCACTGTCGTAAGTTTTCCTTCAGAGAAAAAAATGGAAGGTCTGAATCATTCTCCTATGTACACAGCACTCTCAGAATCATATTTTGTGGACTTGATCCCCAGAAAGGGGAAATTTCCATATTCTACCAAATGCCACAATAGCCACGCATCTGTGACCATGTGCCATCCTCACCAGTGCAAGCCATCACCTTCTGAGCGCTTCCACCAAAATTCCACCGACAGACTGAAGGCTCTCTGAAGGCAACGTCAATTTGTAGTGGAAGAACTTCTCTTTTTTATTTGGAACTGTTAAGATGATGATCATGACTTTTGATTAGGTTTCACTCGTTCATCTTTTCCAGATAATTTGGTTTAACTTTACAACATTCCACTCCATTTTATCAGCCGTGAAGTTGCCGCCATTTTCTGGGTTGTTAATCATTTTGCAAGCTGGCTCACCTGATCGTTTAGCCCCTTTGCTACTTATTTTTAAAAATCATCAAAAGTAATGACAAATTCTAATCAATAGAATAAAATAGGAAACCCTGAGTGATATAAATAAATGGAGAAACAACGTATTTACATTGTGTCAAGTTATGTCTCCATAAGAGATGTATTAACTGCAAGAAGAAAAGTGACTTCATAGTAAAGAAACCTGGCAGATATCACCTTGACCAAGTGATCAAAGTTAACAGCATCAGTAGTGGGATAAATTGAAACTGTGCCATTGAATAGAATGCAATGAGAACACAGTATCATCTCTGGGACATTCCTGCTCAAACATCAGACAAGCCCAAAACAGGGGACATTTTACAAAACTGGTTTGTAATCTTAAAAAATATCAAAGTCATGAAAGTCTTGGAAAGGCAAGGATCTGCTCCAGATGGAAGAAAACTAGATGACTTGACAATTAAATACAATGGGTAACACTGTACTGTTTTGTTTTGTTTCGTTTGCTATAAAGAATGATTTGGGGGAACACCTGGTGGAATTTGAATGAGGTCTGAAGATTAGATTGTGGTAATGTATGGGTTAATTTCCTGATTTTACGCTTGTGTTGTGGTTATAGAGGAGAATGTCTTCGTAGGAATTGCGTTCTGAGTGTTTGAAGAGATGGTTCCAGGTTGACTATCAACCTACTCTCAAGGGTTCAGGAAAAAAAATGTTTGTACTGTATTTGTTACTTTGCTATAAGTTTGGAGTTGGATAAAAATTTTTAAAACCGTTAAATAATTACATTAAGAAAAAACAAAACAAGATTATCGTGAAAATTACCAAGGCAGGAGAGTAAGGGAAAGAGGGCTTGGGATCCTATGCACTTGGGTTCAGATCTTAATTCCAGCGCTTACTTGTGCAAGTGGTTTCATCTGTTTGAGTCTCAATTTTTTTAATTGCAAAATGGGGATAATTTTTGCTACTTTACAAGGTTGTTGTGAAGATCAGAGATAATATAGCAAAGATGTTAGCACAGACTCTGGCAAACAGTAGGCATTCAGTGCACAGAAATTATAATTATCATTTATGTAATAAATAATGATATATTATAAATGCAGACTTAGACATAATTATTATTGTTAATTAACCCACCTGAGCAGACATCAAGTATTTACTAGATTCTACTGATAACCAAGTCTAAACTGCTACCTCTGCGTGTCTCCTGTTTAAACCCATAAATCACCACCTCGAGCATGGATTATTAATCCATCCCTACCTGAGAGCCAGCAGGAGCATCATTATTTGTATGCAAGGGGATTTATCTAAATAAATTTTAATTTTTTTCCCCACCGTAAACAAAAAAGTCCAGTGAGCCAGTTGGTCTATTCTCTTTCGTTTCCACAAATCCTTACAAAGTGAGAAACAGCTCTGTCTGAAAATTAAGAAAATGATGATAAATAAATAAATAAAATAAAAATAAATAACAAAATTTAAAAATAAAAATTTGAATTTTAAAAATTAAAAATTAAAAAAATTTTAAAAAGAAAGAAAATTAAGAAAACAAAAGAAAGAAAAAAAGGAAGGAAGGAAAGCAAAAAAAAAAAATGCAAAACAATGACAACAGAAGAACTCTTAGGGACCATCACTGGTGTCACGTACAATACGATGGGACACCCTCACTGAAGTGGTAGAACGTGTTAATTCTCCCAAGGGCAAGCTCTGGGCTGGAAACCTGACCAGTTGTCTCTAGTTTCCTTGACTATTTCTGCATACATGCTGAAACCGGGTTCACATTTTCACTGATAAATTTTCTCTTTGTGTCTTGTCACTTAGTGTAGGCTTTTAGATTGCTGAATTTTATTTGCAGGATTTGTGCTTTTATTTTAGTTTTTAATCTTAAAATATTCTCCTGTGTCTTGGACCCATATGATGTTAGTCCTGAACGAGGCTCACCGTCCATATCCCAGGAGACTACAATGTCTCTGTTTGCAAATGAGAAAATGTGAGTGACAATGTAGATGGAAATTACCCTTTTTCTTTCTGCTGAATCCTACTCTGTGTGTGGGTGTGTGTGTGTGCTTTCCTGGTAAAGAAGCTGACAGGCTCACCAGAGGAAGTGGTATTCAGAACCATTTAGCCCCACTGCCAACCAGACCTTGATTTTCTATATCAAGAAAGGTACAGTGAGTGAGATGTGGGGACATGATTCTTGAAGCCAAGAAAAATGCCCAAGAATCAGAAGGGAAACCCTCCTACCCTTCCAGGGTTAAAAGGTGCCTGGATTCTCCCAGGAGCTGGGACCTGCTCAGCCATCCCGGTGTGCCTTGGTCTGAAATAGTGTTTCTGATCCGCTTACAGTATCTACAAATATTCTCAACTCTGGAAAATTAATTTGGGCCCATGATGAGCAAGTGGTTAACAAATAAATTGTAAAGGCTACTGTTTGAATATTCTCTTTATTTTATAAACAGCAGAAGTCATTCTCTGTGCTCAGGTGGGA